TGGAAAAATCAAAATCTGTTCTCTCTTCAAAAAAAAAGGCCTCTTGAATAAGAATGTACAGTAAAAAAAGGCTTTGAAAGAAGCAGCGATTTGCTTCTTTCTTGTTTCTCTTTTGTAAGAACACAAACATGATGAATTATGTCCAGATTCTGATTTCAATGTTTTCTTATGTATTATACATATAAGAAAAGAATAGGTATCATATACACGAGAAATGTCATATTCTTTTGTACAGATGGGATAAAATTGAAATAATCTTACATCTTTCTGAGGAATTTTTCAGACAATCTCCTAAAACTCTACTTGAACGACCAAGAATCTAAAAGACGCAAACAAAAAAATTCGATATCCGAGAAAAACCCAATCTTCCAAGAAAAGAAAAATGAATTGGTAACCGAAGAATAGTGTTCCCCAATGCCAAAAACCAATTTCTATACAAGACCCAAAAAACTTACATTATGAGGATTCATATATCACTCTGCTTGTGTACCGGCTTGAGAGGTTTCTTCTGGTTGATCAGACCTGGAGTTACTAGTAACGACAGTAGATGGAGACCATTGATCAGGGACCATGAGGAAGTAAGTCGTCATCGCCTTTCTGAATCTTCTCTTGTATTGCTTTGGAGAGATTACTGTTGGTGCTTCATTCTTTGGTCCTCCTAAGATTCCTGTAAATTTCACCCAAGACTCTAGATGTTTGTCCCATGTGTACTGCCTCAAGAAGTCGATAATCCCGAGAACTAGCTCGTTTTTTTCTTCGTCCACGCCTACTAGCAACGAGTAATCCATCACATCACCCGACTGCAAACACAAACAACATACATACGTTTATGAACTTTACGAAGAGTAGTCAAGAGTAAATGGGTTGCAGAAGAGTAAAACTCACTGCAAGAAAAGCGGTATCATTCCAGACGGCTCTTTCCAACAATCGTTTTGCTTTGTTACCCACGAAAATGGGAGAAGTTGGCATTGCTTCAATCAAGTTTTGATCCAACAAGACTTTGTTGCTCCCACTAGAGTCAGGATTGTATCTCGCCCGGGAAGATCCTTTGAGGTCATAAAGCCGTTTCACACTTCTTCCAAACAGAAGATTCTCCATAATCAAAACATCCATCTTTGTTTCTTTCCCGCTTTTTAGTTGCTTTGTTACGACCTATTAACACAAATACATATTCTCATCAAGAGTCAATCAAACGTGACAGGGAAATCTCTCAACTTAGCAGTTAAGTACCTGATAGATTCCTAAGATTTTAGCAAGGCAAGTTGGACTTTTCGTGCTGATAGACTCGGATAAGTATTTAAAATAATCAGGAGCAAGTTTGAAGAATGATTCCAGTTCTGTCTTGGTCACTTGCTTGATGATAAAACGATCGTCCAGGGTTTTAGCAAAGAAGACATTGCTCTTTCCACCTTGAGCTCCCCATTTTTTACAACGGCTAAGGGACCTTATAAACTCAAGTTCCGAAGGGATACATATACCCCGCAACGCCTCAAACCGTTTTGCATAGTAACAAGTAACTGTGTACTTCACTTTTCCAAGAGTGCCGTCTTCTCCATACGAGACTCGAGCATGTAAAGCTTTTGTATATGAAAGTGGGTCCAGAAGCCGCGAGCTGCTCCGAGATGAGGACATTGAAAGTATACTCTCATCGACTGAACCAGTGCTTCTGCTAGGGTCAAAAATGGTATCATCAACTGGGCGAGGGATATTCAGTTCAGAAGGATATGAAACTAGAGATTCCCCTTCAACAGAAATCTGGCGTTGATATTCGGGTGACATCAAGGCATACGCGACCATACTCGTGGGCTCATCATCATACACTGGAACAACAACATCATTCATGCCTACGGGGAGAAGTAGCCTTGGTCCACCTTGAAGCTCTGCTTCTCTAAAAGATGAAATATAGATAGGGCTATGCTCGCCAAATGTATCAAGCTTCTGAGAGCTAAGCAGGAAGTTCTTGTTGATGGAACGGTAGAAATTGAGGAATGGCATACCTAACCAGCTTACAGAATCTTCTGAGTTCTCATAAGTTTTACTCGGTAAAGCAGGTGAAACTGGATAGCCCATCTTGAATTCATTTTGCTGTTCCGGGAGATCTATTGGCTTTAGCCCCTCTGCGATTGGAGGGAAAGTTGAAAAGTTTAACATGGATGAAGGAGGAAGCAAGATCTTATTATTGGTTGGAATCTCCACTGATGTTTGACGTTCGCCTATCCATGCTGCATCAAGAGTGGCTGATAGATTTTTCATAACTATCTGGCCATCAGACTGTGTCCTGCGAACATCGAGTTTGTTTTCCAGAGGATCAGAAGTATCAGGTAAGGTCTTGCTGGGAGAAACTTCTCCCCTATCTTCCTTTTCCTGATTCAAATCTGAATTTGTATCCGCTTCCTTCTGAACCTTATTTAACGAGCCAGTATCACCAGTAGAATCACCATCAGGATTCAGGTTAACCTCTAAGCCAGTAAGAAGAGAGTTGGTCCCAGCATTCATCTCGGGGAGCGTCTGGCTCTTAGCCAAGGATGGTTTCTCATTTTCTTCTCTCTTTGTGTTATCACTACTCTCAAGCTTATGCAAAGTTGACGCACTAATCAAGCGGTGATCCCACATATATGACTGAAAAATTAGCTGTCTGCGAATCCGGTATAGCTCAAGAATGTCCACAAGAGGTTGGCCTTCCTTCACCTCCCTGTGCAACATCTTTTGCATATTCTCCTGAAAGAAATGTAAAAACAGTTACAAAACAGACCTTTTGTCTTAAACAAATTATTGTCGTACATTATCACTAAGTTCTACATGCTCTTTAATATAAAACATAGTTTATTACCTCGAATTCTGCTTTCTCTCTTTGAAGCACTTCCTCGAGTTCACCAATTTGACGCCTAAAACCTTTCTCTGCAATTTGACTAATAGCATTTAATACTTCAGAAAATAGAAGCTCTGCTCTCTCTACCACCTGTTTAATCAAAAAAGAGGGAGAGCTTAGTCAAGTCAATGTGTTAGATTTCAAAACTGCATCCAAGAAAATCACAGGTATTTAACCTCGTCTGTCTCTCTCTGTATCCAGTCCTGATTATCATAGTTGAAACTAAGAATTGATGGCGGAAGGTAGACTGAATTAACGTCTATAGTAGCGTACCGGAAGCAAGCAACCATGTTCCCAAATCTGCATGGGCACAACTTGTTAGAGCAAACGAAAAAACACAGATTTTTAAATAAACCATGTTTTAACATTTAGTCATACTCCGCCCCAGGGGATGCAAGAAAAATTACCCATAGAAGCGAAGACAGTCTCTATGCAGAGAATGGCCACAACATGCTACTCTACTGGCAGCTGCGTGATTTGAGAAACTGAGCTCCAGAAACTTCCCAAACGATAATCCCCATGCAGCATCAGACATCACCACACGTAGAGTTGCTGGAGGAAAGCCGTTAGGTCGCGGGCATCTCAGGCATCTATGCCACATCCAGATCTTCCCCTCCTTTTCACCAGGTAAGAGATAATCTTGGAGCTTCTTGACAGATATTGTAAGGCTGCCCTGTCGATGAGTATAACAGTGAACATGAGCTTCTGATGGCATCTCACATGAACGACACCTGTAATTCTGCAATTTGAGCATTCATGTGGGTTAGCAAAGTATTATGTAATCTGTAATACGGAAATCACACTATAAAACAAAAATAAAGTAGAAAAAAACTCACCTGATCAAACAAATGATCTCTCAAGAACCGTCCCAAGGGTTTATCAAAGCTCCCATAGTATTTTATTCGGAAGAGGTGAGACCTCTCACACACAGTTCCTTTCCAGACTGATCGGGACGATAGAGACACCAAAATGCTCTGGTGATCAGAGGGTGACGGAGGAAATTCCTCTTTTTGAGATTGTGGTTCTTTTGGATTCTCACTGTTTTGATGTTGGACGGTTGTAAGCTCTGAACCATTGTCTGGGTTTTCGACCATAACGCTCATATTACTTTGGGAACTCTTTAGCACAAAGCCTTGCCCTGATGAATTTAGGGAATTGTCCAATATGTCTTTTGCCTTAGCCGTTGGATTGCTAAAGTCTGCTGGTGTATCTGCGAGTGCAGATCTTTCAGACAAAGCTGAGTTTCTTCCCTCAATCACATGGTCAGGCAAATTCAATGAAACATTATAGCGTGCAATTAGGAAACTCGGATTTATTTCTCTAGCCTGCAAGCCTGTACCATTGGGTATCAGAGGATTTATATCCTTCTGGATGGATAGAGTGGCAGTGGTCGAAAGCAACTCTGATGCTGGGACACTGTTTGCTCGTTGTGGTTCGGAACCGGATAGCATTGTTGGAGATTTTTCACAAGTGGAGACCGTGAAACCTGGCACAGTAGATATCGAACGTTCAATACTCGTAGATTTATCTGGAAGTGCCACTGTAATTGGGGAGTTCAAAGGCAGTTCTGGTGAGGCTCCTTCGTCAGCAAGAAACGATGTCTCGAGTGCCAAATGATAAGCTGCAAAAACTCCATATTGGACCACATGCTTCACTTTTTTCAACTCCTCTTCATTAGCACCCCTGAGCAAAATCTGAAGAAGAAATGACAGAAAAAGCAACTAATATAATGAGGCAATCAGATATAAGCAATCTGCTCTGTATTTTAAATTCTAATGGCTGGATGTGCTTACTGTAAAGCCTAATGGCTTTGGACAACCCTCAAAATACATCAACGTCTTCACTACTTTCTTTCCAACTTGAACAGCTGAACCATGTTCTTCAAGAAACCTATCCACCCGGAAAATCTCACAGGAGCCCAGCTTTTGAGAGGATAGGTGGTCTACAGAAGGAATTATCTGAGCACCAGTGCAGCGAGCAATGCGGTCTAAAAGTGGCCTCTTAATGTTTAGAACAAGAGATATATCTTTGGCTAGAAGATACTCTTGCGCATATCGAGAAACTGATTTTTCGACTAGTAGAATATTTGGACGTTCAGCGTGAATTTTTGCAACAGCCATCTTTAAATGATCCTTTTCCTGAAAAACCAAGATAAGTATAAGAAGTAGAAGGGTTTAAGCATAAATAAGCAAATTCCATATCTAACCACCAACGAGAAGAAAAAGAATATGGAAGTGGCAAAGCATATTTCACCTGTTGCAACAAAGTATCAAAACTCGATAACTGGTTTGAGACCCTTTGATACTCAAGCCCACCGCCTAGAATCAATAGTCGAGCTTTCTCAATCTTCGCCCTCATTCTCCTATGAGCCACATTTTTCTTGCAAACAACTCCCTTAACCACCATGCTGTAAAGTAATACCCGAGATGGATTACTAAAACATGAAATTTCACAAGAATCCAGATAACATGATGAAAAATACACATTGCATAAAATGAAGCCCTGTGGACTTGACACCAGTATTTTTGGGATTAATTTTTGTTGATTCTATTACCTATCATGTGGGAAACCGGAAGCTAAGCATTTTACTTTGACATAGCCACCAGGATCCATTCCTCCACTTTTGCTCATATCAGGCTTCAATAAGTTAGCAGCCTCCCAAGAAAGAGAGGTGATAATCTCTAACCAGCTCTCTTTGCCCTCATCATCGCTCACAGGGATATTCTCGACTTGCAACAGTTGTGCAAGCAAAGCCCTAAAGTGCCCATCAACCACATTCTTCATAGCCTTCTTGTGCTCTTCACTTGTTCGATCCTCGCTACGGTACTCTCCACTTCCAAAGCTAGTGGAAGGTCGTAAGTATCCCCACTCACCTGAGGCATCACCCTCATTATCTTCCTCATCAAACAAAGGACTTTCTCTCTCATCTTCTTCATTTTCTGGATCAGGTGGAACCCACAAAAGTCCATTGTTCTCGAAATCCACCGGTTCTGCCACTTGATCATCTGAAATGTCAGGTGGAGAAGGAGCTTCACATTCGTCACGACCCTCATGCTCATCTTTCTTCTGAAACTGCTCTGCTCCTTCCCCAATTAGAGATTCAAGACAATTATGAATGAGAGGAGAGCCACTTAAGCTTTTCTGGTCGGCCGTTTCTCCACTAAGATGCTTACAGGGGCCATCACATAAGCTCATCTCATCATATTCCATTGGACCATAATATTCATTAGCTTGAGGAGAATGACTCGTCTCAACATCAGTATGGTACACACCGTACTCGTCGTACTCATCATCACTTCTGATCCAGAAAGTGGAAAAAAACGTTACCCAAACACAATTGTTTCTGCTACATAATTCACATGAAGAAGAAATATTTTGATCGATCTCTACCCTGTAATTGCATATAAAGCGTGGTCGAAGGCCACATGACCTACCCTAGAGCTTGTTTGCAGAGTCTAATAAGCTTTACTCATACCTAATCAAAAAGAAGTCAGAGAAAAGGAGTACCTATTTAGAGCAAAGCAAGATAGATCATCCACATCTGTGGCAATGAAGCTGCCCCTCCTAGAAGTTTCTTTGCCTTGCTTGGTTGTGCTTGTCTCCATTGAAGATACTCCGTGCAAACTGACATCAGAACCACGTTGAACCCTTTGATAAGGACCAATTAATCCTGGCATCGAGCCAAGAGCGAAGCTACTACTATTGGCAGTTGTACTGGTCTTTGAACTAAGAATACTTGTCTCTGAAGGTGAAGTACTAAGTTCCGGGATATTTGAAACATGTGGTCCACTATCACCTTGCTCCCATTGCCTGAAACAATAATTGCAAACACGGATCCTTTCCCACTCTTCACGTGGAGTTCTCAAGTCGGTGGGAGCGAAAGGTATTGAGTTTGCAGTACACTTGCCACAGAAAACTCTGCCACAAAGACGACAATGGTGCCTACGATTGATAAGGGTAAACTGACTATCACACTCATAACATACACGACAGCTCTGATCAGGCATCCAAAAATCCCTGGAGACAGTAGCTGGCTCGGATCGCCAGGGTAGCCAGGATTTTACCAGACTCACTATCTCAGAGAGTGTCCTATTACTATCTCTTGTATCCATCTAAAATCTTCCCAACCATCATGCTATGACGGTCATGGAAGCCTAGAATCCAAATTACCAGCAAAGCTCGACACCTAACAGTTGAAAACCCTCCCTGATTTCCACCTGCTACTATAGTTCCTGAAGGCACTCCAATACGTATTGAGAATATTCAAGCAGATATTGAAGGTCTCTCATCCTCCAAAGGCTGATACCCAAGAGACCTTTAGCTTCTTCACCTCTCACTGAAAAAAACAATAAAAACCAGACATAAAAGTTAAACGCTGGAAATGATTCCAACATGAATACACATGTCTCAAGAATCAAAATAAATAGTATAACTCGAGGATGATCCCAGAATCAATTAATACGAATACCAATCAGAAAAAAAATTACAAATTGGGGGCGATCAGAGAAAACCTTCGTTCTCTGTTTTTTTTTTCTCCAACCCACGAACAAGCAAAGACCTTTCTAGATATGAAATCAAAAATCGAGCAAACCCTAATAATCAGGAACCGATCAAGTGCAGAATTTCATGCACATCAAAAATCGAAATCCTCCGATTTCACGAATCTAACAACACGAAGAAACCTAAAATCCAGTTGAATTGATCGCATCGAATTACCTAAACAGGAACCTTCAGTCACCAGAAGATCGTCGTCTTGTATACTCGATTCTCGAGG